ATACAAACATACATACATACATACATACATACATACATACATACATACATACATGCATACATACATACATACATACATACATACATACATACATACATACATTAAGGCAATATGTAAAATGATCAGTGTCAGATCAGGCGACAGCAGGGAACTGTTTTTCGCAACTAACCACATTTCGTGCTAGTTGCAGCGGTTCGTGCGTGTCTGTGAGCTTGAAAATATCCAACTGAATGCCGACATGTGCAATTAACGACAAATCAAAGTGTTAATCCATTTGTTACTTGATGTTTGACGGTTCAATGTCACTCATCATGTTTTGGTTTTAACATACATACATACATACATACATACATACATACATACATACATACATACATACATACATACATACATACATACATACATACATACATACATACATACATACATACATACATACATACATACATACATACATACATACATACATACATACATACATACATACATACATATTAATAAATGGTAGTTTATATACATAGGTGCATTTATTTTCATGCGATTGACATCTAAATTTTTCAGTGTTTGATTTAGGTTTCGAAAAATTTATTATTTTGTTTTCAATTTTATTCGATTTATTTTCAAATTTGTTTATGAAACGTCTTCAAATTTCAGACAACATTAAAAATTTTTATTTAAAACGTTGATATTTTTATTTTATTTCGTTTTTTTTTATAAAAAATGAATAGAATCTAAATCGTTAATTTATAAAAATTGAAAGTGATTCAACGACAAATGGTTTCACGTAATGATATTTCATCATTAGTTCACTCATCTATCATCATCATCATCATCATCATCATCATCATCATCATCATTGTTATCATCTTTATTTTTTTTATTAGTAGTATTAGTAACAGTAGTAGCGTGGCACTAGTCACAGCTGCAATGGCGGCAGTAGAAGTAGCAGTACTAGCAGCAGTAGCAGTAGTAGCAGTTGTAGCTGTAACAAGAGTAGTAGCAGCAGTATTACTGTTAGTTTTACTTCTTCACCAAATCAACTAAATAATTAAGCTGTTACTTGGTTAACCACAGCGGGCCTGTGATTGTTCCTTCCTATTGCTTAATTACTTACCCAAACGCCTACTGGCTACTATATTTTGAAAAATTTTACGGAAACTAATTAATTAACAGCAAAATTTCGGAGAATGATAATCTGTCACCTGATTGTCCTTGTCATCGTCGTCGTCATCATCATATCAAATGATATCATCATCGTCGCCATCGTCATATCATTTCAATATTATTATTATTATTAGTCGTTGTTAACGTTGTTGAGGTTTTTATCGGTGCCATCATCACCATTGTCGTCATCGTCATAATCTTTTTCCAGTGACGTCATCATTATTGTTATTATTATTATAATTATTATTATAATTATTATTATTATTATTATTATTATTCTGACATGGTGATGATTTTCATCTTGCATCATCATCGTCGGTCATTTCATCACCGCTTTTTTTATCATCATACGAACAATGGTAATAAAAAAAATAATAATAATAATTGTCATGATTATCATTAATGTCATCCGTATCATCATCATTATTAACATCATCATCATTACATCATCATCACATCATCATTACATCATCATTACATCAACTTTAAAATTATCATCCCAATCGTCATCATCAATTTTATGATCATCGTCATCATCACAATCATCACAATCGTTATCGTCATCATAACGTTATCATCATAACTATCACTATCATCATCGTCGCCATAAACTTATTAAAACTATTTAAGAAGGCTTGTCCGACCATCAATCAAGTTGATTTGCTAATTTCTTTTCTATGTTCCTCATATTTCCTCTTTGTTACACACGTGTATGTGTGTATGTGTGTGTGTATGTGTGTGTGTGTGGGTTTATATGTGTGTTTATTTGTGTGTCTGTAGTTCATGTATGTGTGCGTGTATCTGTGTAGTATACGTGTGTGTTTGTGTGTGTGTGTATGCATGTGTGTGTTTTTGGGTGTGTGTGCGTGTGTATGTGAGTGGGAAGTTAGCGTGTGTACTGTACATATAGAACGGGATCTAACATTTATATAGCATTATGTAGTTATTGTTATTTATTATTGGTGCTTTTTATTAATTTGTTCATTGCAAGAATTCAAAGAAAGTTATAGCAAGATTAATTGAAGCGTGTTGTTTGTTATGTCATATATGGCATGCCTTCGTAAACATTTGCACCACTGCTTTTGATGTGCGTGTGAACTTGTTTGTGTATGTGTGTTTGTGTATGTGTGTTTGTGTATGTTTGTATGAATATATGTGTGTGTGTGTTTGTGTGTGTGTGTGTGTTTAGTGTCTAGATTTAAAACTCATTACTTAATTTTTCGAAACGATTTTACTTTATGTTTTGAATCACACATAGGTGAAAAGATAAACACACATAATTAGTGTATACAAACACGCACATATAGATACCCACACACACGCACACACACACGCACACATACATACCTACTTACAAATATACATACATAATTGAATAAGTTACATGAGAAATAAGACAATGAACAAAATCTTTACTTAACTATACTATCTCTGACACTTCAGCTCAATTTCAACTATCATTGTTTCATTTGATAATTTATAGACAATGAAATAAAAGAGAGAGAAGAGAAACTACAGTGAAAAAGAGAGAGAGGGGGGGAGAGAGAGGAAGAGAGAGAGAGAAACATACAAACATGTTAGTAGAAGGACTCATTTAAAAGTGGCCGAACCTTAAAAAATCATTAATTGTCGCAGTTACGTAGCAAAAAATAAACATTTTTTCAAAGAGTTTTTTTATCTTACTGAAGAAAATAACTTGAATTTCAAGAAAAAATAAGATCAACTTTTTATGCATACTCACACACGTACATAATTCTAAACGCCCGTCAGCACACAAACAGACAGACAGACGCACACATACATATACATACATTTAAACAAACATGCATAAGTTTTGTTTCGTTTTTTCATTTCTTTCAATGCTATTTTCTTATTCTTTCTTATATTTGTGGGCAAAAATAGAATTATATTTGAAATATTTTAAAAAAATTTAAACACAAACTATTTTTAATGGTTTTCAATAGCGCCCTAAATTAACTCATTTAACATGGTTATACACCATACATATTGGACTTTCTACCATTCAGTATTCAATTGGCTTTAACAGACGTAAAATTTTGAAATTTTAATATTTAATTTACTGAATAAACAAATAAATAAATATCAACAGCAAAAATTGTTATAATAACTTTTATTATTATTTTTCTCGGATATAATTCAGCTAACACCCCGTTATAACTATTGATAAATTCCTATTGATAAAAATTTTACATGTTGTTTAGTGGGAAGTGATTTGAATAATCATTTGATAAGATTATATGGAATCAATACACATTCTTGGTCTGTGTTTGTGTGTAGTGTGTATGTGTTTGTGTGTGTACGTGTGTGTTTGTGTTTCTTACTTTTGCTGCAACTTAAAATATCGTCTCGTCTCGCTATTCTTGTTTCGTCTCGTAAATTTGGATTGCTTTATGTGTCATACGAGATTGTTATTTCATTTAAATGTATGTGTGTGTTATTTGTATTGCATGTATTAATTTGTTTGGTTCTGTGTGTGTGTGTTGTTGTATGTGTGTGTGCAAATGTGCACGTATGTTTTATGTAGATTTATTTCTTAGTTGTTTGTATTTATACAGGAAACTTTTTTTTGGTTTTCTATTTTATTGGGTTGTTGATAATTCAGCGTATGTTGGCGTGTTTTGGCGTGTATGTGTGTGTCCGTGCGTGTTTGAGTGTGTTTCCGTGCGTGTGTGTTTATTTGAAATACGTTTGTTTAAGTTGGTTTTCTAACTAATGCACTAAAGTTTAGACAAACAAGCATACGTTAAATACGAAATGTGGATTTAATATGCATGAATAATCTGTTTGTTTTAGCAAATTTTCATGCATTTGAAACGAATGTAGGTGTGCGTGTGTGTGTGTGCATGCTTGTGTGTATATTTGTGTGTGTGTGCGTGCGTCAGTGTGTAAATGTTCTGAAGTTTTAAGCTAACATTTTCCATTAAACATTTCTTCCAAAATTAATACAAAACGTGTTTGTACTATGGAAAGATTGATGTTAATCTTTTTATCTCAGTACAGTGGGAAAGCCCGACAATTGGTGTGCCGCTAATTACTTCTTACGTTTCTGCAATCATTTCTAAGTAACTTAATTTGGACTAAAGAAATTAGCATTTCTTTTTCCCTCTATTTTTCTCGCTTTCCCTTTACATATGACTCTCTCTTTTTATTACTCACATCACCATCATCATCATTTTTTCTCCTCCTTCTTCTTCTTTTTCTTCTTTTTCTTTTTCTTCTTCTTTTTCTTCTTCTTCTTTTCCTTCTTTTTTTCTTTTTCTTCTTCTTCTTCTTCGTCATCTTCATCATCATTTGCGACAATCCTCCAACACTTAATCTTCAACGTATCAAAGTAATTAAGTTGAAGTGCATTTCGAAACCTTCTAAAAAGACGCACACACACACACACACACACACACACTTACATACACACGCACACATACAGACACATGTATACATACCCACGCACACATACAGACACACATGTACACACACACACATGCAGAAGCATTAAACTTAACGAAAATATTTGTATTTTAAAATATTGACATTGTTTATGATACTAAGAAGTTTTTTGGAAATTTTTTAGTATTTGGTTAACGATTAAAAGGCTTTACAGCTGTTACAAAGAATTTAATTGTCTTCACATCTAACGATTTGTCTGAGGGTAATTGTAAATCAATATTTCTTTGTTATTTTTTTGTGTTGATTGTTGTCAACGATGTTTATGTGGTTGTTTGTTGTTGTTGTTGGTGCTGGTGACAATGTTGTTTATGTTGTTTAGATCATAAGTACCAAGTACCCACAGCATGGCAAACCTTTAGCATATGTGCAAGTTCATACAAAAACATAAAAACACTAAAACCCACACAGACAAACACACACAAACACACACAAACTCACAACCAGAGGACACGAGCAAGTTCTGGACATATCAGGGCTCACTGACCACTCCTCCGTGCTATGAAAGTGTGACCTGGGTCATCTTTGAAAACTGCATCTACACAAGCAGTGCTGTGGTCAGTTCATGTGTGTGTGCGTGTGTGCGCGTGTGTTTCTGTCTGGTGAACGATTTTGAAGGTTTTTACTCTCTCACTTTTTCACTCATTCTTATTTACTCACTCACTCACTCACTCTCTCGCTCATTCACTCACAGTTGAAGAAGTACAGAGAGTTGAAATATTACGCGGAGAATGAGACAAGACCGGACGATGAATTCGATGGTCAGCTAAAGACGAACAACAGGCCTGTCCAGCCAATCGGAGTCAGGAAGGTTCGTCAAATCAATAGTCAATTGATTGACTGATCGATTAACTGATTGATTGATTCATTCCTTCATCTATTCATTCATTCAATCATATATTCATTCATTCATACCCTCAGATATCAATCCTCCAGTCTAGCTAATTTCATCCAATCGTTTTTATTCAAAAAATTTCAACTTTTTCAAAAGTGCTCATTTTACATCCATTCATCCATCTCTGCAGATATGTCACGTAGATAGCGCTCTCTTCAGGTCAATACACGAAGGTGACAGAGGCGGGAGTGGCGGGGGCGGCGAACCCGGACGGCCGTTTCGGGGGGGCGGGGGTGACGAAAAGGTCGATGGTCACCTCCGCTCAATTCAGACCCACCTCTGCAAACTTGGATCTGCTCTTCGCCACCGCGGGTGATGATGACGACATCTGTTGTACTGTCTCATGATGTTCAGGATGAAGAAGATGAGGATGATGAGAAAGAAGAGCAGAAACGATCCTGTTGAATACAAAAAAAAATAATAACAAAAAATAACAAAAAATCAATCTGAAAAACATCGTAAAATTTAAATGGCAATTTTTTCCATTTTTTCCGAACTGAACGCTTTTCCACGTTTACGATCTCTCAGTCCTTTTTCTAACCGATGTTTCATTTCAATTTAATGATAATCATATTTATATTAACAACAATAACGTATGGCGTAACGGTAAAGTGCTTGGCATTATCATTGCAATGACCGGATTCGATCGCAAAGATATCCAGGCTCATCACACGCAATGTGTGTGATGCGTTGTTCCACGTGTATTTACATGCATAGTGTGCTTGTCGTTGATACCTCTGGGGAATATTGCGAGAATTGTACTAAATAAATGAATGGATAAGCTTTTGATCTTGTTAACTATTAAATTGAAACTTAAATATTATAACAATATTATTTTAGTTATAATTAAATAAATTATATCATACTAAATTAATTACTCCGTTATTATTAAAAAAATAATTTTCTGCCCACCCCTCACTAGCACTTTCATTTTCTTTCACAATTTTTCATTTTAAATCATTTTCTTGCTCATATTTTATTTTATAATAAAGAAATTATTTAATTATTCATTGAGAATAATTATTAATAATTAACATATGATAAATGTTATAATTGTAAACAGCAATGTTCATGCGGTGTCATTGTTTATAAACAAACACGAATACTATCTCTGTATGTGGCATCATTGTATAATGTATATATACAAATACATTAACTTTGTATGTTGTATTTTTGTATATATACAAATACATAATTTATGTACGTGGTATATTTGTATATATACAAACTTGCTGTTTCTGTTTGCGGTACGTTTGTATATATGAATACAAACAGTCTATCTCTGTTTTTAGAATCTTTGTATACATATATACAAAACATAGCAGGTATCAATGTGTGATTGTATTTGATACAAAACATCGTAGATACAAAGATAACCATCCCATTCACACATACAATCACATAGATACTATATTTGGGATTGTACATGCAAAAGTAATTATTAAGCATACAAACACATGTGTTTAGATACTTAGATATACAACAGAACTCAGTGTATTGTATCCGAACTCATTATAGAATGATGAAAAAGAAAGCGCGCGTGTGACAATGTATAAGACAAATGTATATGTTCACATTTTCAACATAGGGAGGAAACATCAATGTATCTATTCATGATATTACGTAAGAATCCCATAGGCACGTTTATAATAATAGTCTGTTTCATATCAATTCTGTTTGTATTTTTTACCTTTGTGTGTTTAAATCTTGGTAAACCTATAAACTTCTTTATATTTAAACCAGATTTATCCATTGATTTACATTTAAACGAACAACACACTCACAACACACTCACAACACACTCACAACACACTCACAACACACTCACAACACACACAAACACATACACTCAAACACACACACACATACACACACACAGGAGCGCTTAGAAACTTTTGCACATAAACAGCTTCAAATGCAAGCGAAAGCCTAGTCAGAATATTTCCGTGTTTAAGAGAATTGGAAATTTGTACAACAAACTGCTAAGTTCTTGTGCTCAACCCATGTTAAATAACCATTATTCCTATCTAGCAGAGGAATTTGTAATAGAATTAAATTTACACCGAAGTTTTGTGAAAATTACACTGTCTCAAATCACCCTGCATTATTAAATCTCAACCTACGTCTCAGTAGGCAAGTATGATGAAACCTAGCGTCTAACCTGGCGTCTAACATAGACACGAAACACATACCAGACATAAAGACCTACGTATCTGCAACCACATATTTAGCAATACACACTTAAACCTAAACAAAAATACACACACACGCACACAAACATTAATTTTTCACTATTTTGAATCTTCATTTAAGCAACAATTTCATATTTCATGTTTGGACTTTAAGCCATCATTTAATATACATATCTGTTGAAGAGCTATGTTATATGAGCCGCACATGTGACACACAAACACATAATCACACGCACGCACACAACACACACAAACAGTACATACAAAAACAGCAACATACATACATATACATACGTACATATTCATGTACATACAAACATATAAATATTCATACATACATACATATGTGTCATCAACCATTACATTTATTGCTACTTGTTATTTCTTTGTTCATCGACTGCACTGCAATAAATTATTTCTTCTTTTTTAATCTGTTTATTCCTTTTTAAATAAAAAATTTAAAATTTTAGAATTAAAATCTTTTTTAAATATAATAATTTTAATCATAATTAATTTATATATCGTAGCGCGACGGTGTAGTGGATAAAGGCGCCTAACCATATAATGCCAAGATGTGACATTGATACTGGGTTCAATTGCAAATTTCTCACATGAAATCATGTAACACGAAAATATAAATAACTACTGCATAGGTTACATAAATAGTAGAAGCATTAAGATAACAGTAATTCGTTACAGCATTAAAGAGAAGTTAGCAGTTTAAAATTATATTATAAACACAAACGTTGATAAAATATATATACAAATGTACAAAGATATTCAACGGCTTGGACGAAATTAACAGCAAACCTCTTTAACATTAAAACGGCTTTCTATCTTTAACTTACCATTGACCTTACAATAGTTATAAATAGTAACCGGAAGTAAATAACAAACTGATCAATGCTTGATCATGATTGACATGATAATGATGATGGTAATGACGGTGATGACGACGACGATGATGATGACGACGATACTGAGTAAGTAAAAATAGCCAATATATACTCTAAGCAAGCAAGCGAGCGTTATAGAGTCATATTATATAAAGTGAATGATAGTAGCATTTGTTCAACATTACATAACAACGATCATCACTCAGAAGTGTGAATTATAAGTGCATTGAATGTTTCGAAATATTTTTTGTTGTCTACGTTTTAATACCTTTCCTGATACAATATACAACAATTTTTAATCAAGGATCGCCTTTGAGAGCCGATTTGAAAAAAAGTTATCGTCTAGATTATTCTGTTACACTAAACACATCTTCACTCAAAGTGGGATTATTTTTATTAAAAATTATAAATCAATCAAATACTTTGAATTTTCAAGTGGTTAGATGTGTGTTTCTGTTATATGCCTGTGTATTTGGGTTTGTTGTTGTGTTGTTCGTTGTTTCATTTATTTATATAAAAAAAACTTGAAATGTCTTTGCGAGTAGGTTAACAAAATCAAAATATTTTCACAGTAAAATTTATGAAGCATGCAGTTACGTGAGTGCACTCTGCTCCACTGGTCGGTTTAATCTAGTTTCATTCTTATTTTATTAACTTATTATTCAAATTTATTTTAAACTAATTAACATTTTTGCTCGTTAAAAAAAATTTTTCCATTTTTAATGAGTGCATTTGCATTTTTTATTTTGATTCATTTTAAATTTTATTTTCAGTTAAACTAATCAGCTTTTTATGAGATTCTGCAAAAATTCCAAATAGGAGCGAACTTTGGCGGCAACTCCAATGACGCACTGTTTCTTCACAACTTCTCTAACGCTGTAGTACAATATAAGCAGTTTCACGTTGTGTGGTTTTGTGTGTGTTGTGTGGTTTTGTGTGTGTTGTGTGGTTTTGTGTGTGTTGTGTGGTTTTTTGTGTGGTGTGTGTTGTTTAGTGTGTGGTGTGTACGTATTTTTTTGTATGTGCGGTTTATGATGTTTGCATAGAGTCATTGTGTATTATTGTATTTTATAGTCGTTTAATTTGATATTGTTATACGATTTAAATATTAAAATTCAGAAAAAAAACACAACGAAATCTTTGCGAAAAGACTCAAATCAATCGCAGCAAATCAAACTCGAGTTTCGGTTCGACGGGCAGTCCAATGACAAAGCTAGAAATGCCAGTGAGGTACCACGTGACTCGGTCCATAGTGCACATCAAGGGCCCTCCACTATCACCCTGTACATGAATGAGTTACTGTCATTGTATGTCAGTTGTTTGTTTGCGTGTTGTTTGCACGTTGTATGCTGTTTATATGCTGCTTGTATGCTGTTTGTATGTTATTTGTATGTTGTTTGTATGCTGTTTGTATGCTGTTTGTATGCTGTTTGTATGTTATTTGCATGCTGCTTGTATTAGTTGGACGTTTGTAGTAGCTGGTTATGATGTGCTTCTGCCAAAATTTTGGCGTGAAAATTGAGATACACTTAAGCGGGTACTAAGGAAGCACTTCTAATGGTTATTAAGTGCATACCTTCAGTTACCTATACACAAACCATAAGATCATTTCAACATATCCAGATAAATACATAAACACACAAGCATGCATACAAAAAAAACAGACAAACATGCAAGCAAGCAAACAAACAAACACAAACAACACAAACACAACTCTCGCCCGCCTACTGAGCAAATATTAGCATCTGAATTTTTCTTAACTTTCCCCAAGCATAGATGAACATCATGATCGAATGATTCGTAGAAAGGATTGTTACTGCAGACTTTCAGCGGTTGAATCAACATACGCGCTTGCAGTAGCTCTCGAGAAGTGCGGCCTGCATGTTTCAAATGTTTCAACGACATGCTTAATCAATCAGTCAACCAATCAACCAGTCAACTAATCAATCAATCAACCAGTCAACTAATCAATCAGTCAACCAATCAACCAGTCAACTAATCAATCAATCAACCAGTCAACTAATCAATCAGTCAACCAATCAACCAATCAACTAATCAATCAATCAACCAGTCAACTAATCAATCATTCAACCAATCAACCAGTCAACTAATCAATCAATCAACCAGTCAACTAATCAATCAGTCAACCAATCAACCAGTCAACTAATCAATCAATCAACCAGTCAACTAATCAATCAATCAACCAACCAACCAACCTATATATATTTATAGGTTGATATTATATATTTATATAGCGCAGTTTATAAAATGCAAGTTTTTGTGCAAGTGGTTAGTGACGACGTGTTTGTGTGTGTCTTTATTTACAATTTCCTCTTCAGTATTCCCCTGACATATCAACCACAAAGACAGGGTGCGTGAATCACAGCACTTTAACCATTACACCTGATGTTAAAATTTAAAACATGGAACTGTCAGTTCGTAACCTGTGGAAGTTTTTCCATGGCCTATTGTGATGCACAGCTTCATGGATTCTTCGTACATCCAAGTCTGGATCAAACATATCGGTCGGACATTCCATCGGTATCGAATCGGAGTCCTTCCAGTCGGTATAGGATTATGTGATTAATTTGTTTTCCGTGGTTGTAAATTTATTGAATAATTTATATTTTTCATCCAAAAAAAGTTGAGAACTTAAATAAATTCATAATTATTTAAAAAGAACTATTTAAAACGAATGTTTAATGTAAATAAATAAATTAATCTATGAAATAATTTCGTTGTTAAATATTTTAGCGTATAAATTTATATTATTAAGACGAACCATACGAACCATCAAACAAGCAATTGAATAAAAATAAGCGAACAAACACACGAACGAACAAACGAACGAATGAGCAAACAAACAAAAAACAAGTTTGTTTTAAAAGGTTAATTAGTGAAAATTTCAATGCATTTTTACACTGTTAGTACATAAGCATTAATTTATTAATTTCATAGAATCGCATTTCTTATAAAAAAAAACCTTTACTTCATTTTCAACAGAGCTATATCATCAGTGTAGGTGTCCTAAGAAGAAACATATATACAGACTCTTCATATAATGAATCATCCAATCGAATAATCATTTTAAATTTATATAAATAAATATAACATATGAAATTATTGTTAAAAATAAAACAACACACGACATGTTAACAGTTTAATCATTACACCAACAAAAGCTGTTACAAAATTTAAAATAGAAAGCATGTACTATACTGGATTTCTTAAAAATTTGTCATTGTAGAGTACAATGTCCTCAACTTCATGACCCAGTGATTTGTTGTCTAGATGTATTCCTGCCATACTTAGCTTAATTGTGTTCGGATTGGTTCTGGATTTTGCGTTGTGTTGTTGGGTTGTTAACTAGTTGTTGTTAACTGGTTGTTGTTGTTATTGTTGTTGTTGTTTGTGGTTGTTGTTGTTATTATTGTTTTGGTTGTGGTTGTTGTTGTTTTTGTTGTGGTTGTTGATGTTTTTGTTGTCGTCGTCGTTGTTGTTTAAGAATATATGTTGTGTTTGTGTTGTTAGTATGATAATATTTTTATATGCGGCTGTGCTATTGACAATGTTAACGACAATAACAACATTATAATCAATATTATCGTAAATAATTATCAACTACATGTTTGGTATAATATTCTCTTAAGACACTCACTCAATCATCATCCTTCCATCGTCATCATTTTCATCATCATCATCTTCTTCTTCTTTTTCATCATCATCTTCATCGTCATCATCATCATCTTCTTCTTCATCATCATCTTCATCTTCATCATCATCATCACAGGTGAGTAGGCTATGAACAAACCACACTCACATTTTGCCATCCTCAATGATGCAATGAGCTGCAGTGATTATCCACATGGGATTCAGGATGGCACCACCACACAGCATGTAGTGCTTGGTGGCGACGATGCTAACGAACCAGGGCCAGGCACCATCTTGAGTCGGAGTCCCGCCAATCAGATAGCGATCTGTCGTCAGCCGAAATCGCGAATCTCGTCTACCACATTCTGAAATGTGGTTATGAGGTAGATAAATTTAACTTTAAATTTATCTACCTCATAGATAAATTTAAGGTAGATAAATTTAACTGTTGCGAAATCTCAAAAAATTTATCCCAGCGTATGAATGTTTATTTCGTTGATACAATTTTATAGTTACACGACTACAATTAAAAAGCATTTTAATGTGAGAATGTTGAATATTCGTTATGCTTTTAGTAGCGTTATTCAACTTGGCAAAGAATGCATTTCTCAACTAACTATGAAATGTAACCAAAATGGCAGAAATTTAATAATCTTAAAAAATCTTTAACACCAAATGAAAGATGATAAAAATTTTTGTTTGTGGAACTTGGAGCCTGTATTAATGGTAACAAAAAATCTCTCCCTGCAAAGAAATGGCAGTCAAACATCTGAAACTACAAATGTTTAGATTCGCAGCCAGTTAAAAGTTACGAAAGTTAAGAGGTATTTAAAATTTTCAGATCCAAAAAAATTTCTAAGTTTCATTTAAATGGAAAAATAAACATTAACAAATCGTACTTTGTGTAGAACATTCAACGTGAAGAACACCCGTATGGCATTCACTGTTTGAATGTTTATTTAAAAAAAACTTAAATGACTACACCAATGACTATATAATAATTATTATTAATTATTTCAAATATTATTACGATAATTAATAAATATCATCATTATTGTTGTTATAATTTACCCGACTACGCGAAGGTAGTGGTCATTTTCATCATACGTGAGGAATTGTAGGCTGGCGTTCGTTGATGTGTCGTTGGTCGTCGTAGAGTGAACCATTGCCAATCCACTGTTGAATTAATTCATTTGTTTATCTAACTAACTAAACGTTTGTCTATCTGTCTGTCTGTCTATCTGTCTGCCTGTCTGTCTGTCTAATTGCGTCTGATTGTCTGTCTATCAATCCTTAATTGTCAATCTTTATCAATCCATCAAAATAATTTAAAGTAAAATAACACGGAAAAGAAAAAAATTCTCAAAATAGCAGTCTATCTATCTTTTGATTTGGTGATAGAAACGAGAGAGAAGCAGGTCAAAATAATTAATAGGACTTGAACATTTGAAGTGCGAGAACAAACAGTATCATAGGTTGTTCAACGCAGCTGAAAGCACAAATCCCATATAATGAATTATATATCAGCATTAAGAGGCTAAATCTGAAATGAATCTGAAACAATTGCTCGAAAAGTATAAATAAAATTGACAAATGTAGAAATAAATGTAGTAAAAAAATAATGGAAAATAGATAAAACTATAATTTTTTTGTATAAACCAAACAACGAGAAAAAAAACCTGCTTCCAGCCCCGACACATAAGCTGTCAAGAATTTCATTAGAAATGGAACCTTCGCAGATTTCAACAGTGTCGTATTCACCCTTGTATAAGATCCTCAGTGAGCCATTCATTATCTTAACTTCGCATCAGCGTTGATGAAATATTGTTAAAAGTTGCACATTATTTCTTTCTATTGCATAGAATTCAATTACAATTTAACTAGAGTTAATACATTTAATTGATCGGATGATACTGAAAAACTTGAATAGTCAGAAAAATCATTTATAATAAAGTTTCGATAAAATTTTTGGATTATATGCACATTATACAAACGATTATCCACAAAACGTTGTAAAAAAAAATATTGAATATCTAAAGAATAATGTAAAAATTGTGAATAATTTTATTGAAAAATCAAAAGAAATTTTAGATCGCCGGTGTTCAAGGTAGAGAAATTTATGGTAAAATTGAAATAATAAACTGTCGGTACGTTACAGCAGTCAGACTCGTCAGATCTGTCGTAGGGGCAATGAACTTTACCATCACAAACCGAACGCTTCTCTACACACTTTTTCGATCGGAAACATCTAACTCCATCGTCTGGACAATCTACTGCGATGATGAAAATAAAAGTTAAAAGTCTGAAACACCTTTTCTAGGCTCAGACGAATCAGCAACACCCAAACATCGTACATGAGTACGCGCTAAAGGATACATCACAAAAGAAGCATGTGATTGACGGAGATATTTTTTTCGTATTCGAACCAGGTCACTGCACGCACTGCCAGCAGCACCAGGTAATCTTAACCACTCGGCCATCACGTCGTCCATGATGATGACGTTGATGACGGCAGCAATGGTGGCAGAAAATGATGAAGATGGTGTCAAATAAAGATGATGATGATGAAACAGCAACAAAAGTAATATGCGAATGATGATGGTGGTGGCTACGAAGTAAGCGACTAACCACATTGTGGCATCTTCTCGTCATCTCCGTACTTACAATCGTTGATGCCATCGCAGAGATACTCCTTGCCTAGGCACCTACCGTTTCTGCACTTGTATTCATCCTGCGAACAATCTAGGATAGAATTTGTATTAATAACTTTTTATACATTATGGTTCTTTCATTCCAAAATATCAAAAACAAGCAACGATCAAAGTCTTCAATTTAGTAAGAAATTGGAATAAAGATAAGTAGAAAACTAATTTTCTATACTACATTTTAAATTACAACAAAATTTAATGCAATAAACATTGTTGTTTACGTAATCGTACTATACACACACGCACGCACGTGCACAAACATACAAACACACACGCACATAAAAATATGTATTAACACACAAAGACACATGTACAAACACATACAAAGACGCATACACATACATACCACAATTAATTTCATCGAAATCATCCGGGCAGTCCTGATGACGATCACATATCTGAATCCTCTTCAAACACTTCTTAGTTGGCTGGCAGTAATACGTTGAATTCGGCAGACAATAGCCTACTTTCATATCAGTTATTCATTTTTTAATTTTTCTTTATAAATTTCCAGCATTTTTTTCATATTGATTAAAAAAAAAAAAAACAAGAACCTCCGAAGCGTTTTTAAGTTTTTACAAAAACAAAAATCGCTTTAATTCAACGTACCCTCCCTACTGCCGATCCAAATTGAAATGATCATAGCAGCAAGTGCAATGGCCAACAGGACGGTCAATGCAACTAACATGATTATCAGTTTCTTTGCGTCAAAATCCATTCCGCTGTTTTCTTTCTCTCGTCCTCTCTCTTTCTCTCTGTGTGTATGTGTGTTGTGTGTGTGTGGTGTGTGTTAAAATATCGTTATTTAAATATTGCAACAATGTTTAATTTACTAGAAGCGTTTTCTTGTGAATCCTACACAAACCAGACGTTTCTATATTTTTGTTTTGTTCATATTGAGATATTTGTTTTTGTTTACATAGTACAAAATTAATCTCTATGAAACTCATTATAAAAACAAAAACAATGATGTCGTTTCGAAAATATAAACTACGGTGTTGTTAGGAATGACAAAATCAAACATTTCGTAAGCCATACAAAACTGTCCGCTGTTTAAACTTTGGTAAAAAAACCTTTTTCATCTAACTGTGTGGCATGGCGTGTTTAAAGAGATCCATCTTTATAGTGTTTAAAGGCCTGCTTGCTACATTCATATAGACGGTGCAATGCGGCACGCATTCGTGATAATAAAATACACTACACTCTGACGCTAATATCATGAAATCGTCACAAAATTTCATAAAAGTTGCAACATCAGGTACAATATAAAAACTTAGGCTACCAACCGCCAACTTTATCTGAAAAACGTTAAAAATTTTAACTCGTCTGAGCCAATTTACGATTTTCACTTAATCATATCAGTGCTCCGGTCACCCTTTCCTAATGAAAAGTTCGTATTGTATCAAATTATTAGCAGGCTTGTTTTAAGAATAATGAACACTGCACACGGTAACAGAAATCATCAATTTACGCACCATTGATTTCACTAAGCTAAACTTTCAACGTTGAAAATTTTTAAAATCAACAGTTGACGAATAGACGTAGTTGTTTTTTTCTTAAATTGCAAATATTTTAAATCTCAAATCTAGTTATTATGTAACAGCATGGATTAATTGATCAATTTATCTGTCCAAACGTATGTAAATTCAAATCAGCATAATTTGGTCAAGCAAATGATTCAGTTCTACTAAAAACTAATGAAAGGATGTCAGGCATGACGAATTACATACAATTTTGTAATATTCGAATAAAAAGTTGAGAAACAGCGGGTGGAAGCAGACCGACTACACATGTTATCAATCGACTACTAAAGAACCACCAACCATGGTGATGTCAAACAATAACACTAACCAATCTTAAACAGTAACAATACCCAACGCACTAATATGAATAATACCAAAATTCAATACAACGTAGTAAAGTATCGCCATGATAAAACAATATCTATATCTTAAATACTGCTCAGCTAATTAGCATAAATATTTCCCATGGGCAGCCAAATATTCTTGACTTGAACAGCATGGTGGAGGAAATCTTCAGCACATCCCTGTTCGTCCTCCATCCAATCACGTGCCAGCCCCCAGTCCACCCACGTCCTCTTCATGTTGTCTGCCGAGGCATGCTCAACGAACATCGAGGCCTCCGCTGATTCGCCGTGGTACCAGATGGACTGAATGTCCCTGGCAGGATGTGGTGGAGGAAGTAAATAGATGATAGTTATGATGTAGATCATAGTACAGACGATGACGGTGACAAAAAGCTAAAAAGGAAAATGGCAATGAGGAAGTGAGGAAGAAAACTGAACACTATCATGGAATAACGGTGGAAGTACAAAGCTGGCATAACCCACCTGTGCTCAGCTAGGCACCTGGTCAGATGATCAGCATCGCCTGTGATGATGTTGACGACACCTGCAGGAAGGTCGGAGGTGTCGAACACCTGAGTGATTCATTGAGTGATTCATAAACTCGATGTGTGCATGAGGACATTTGTGACCACAAACGTTGACGATTGAATAAATCCAAATAAGCATTACACAAACAGACTCCACACCACAAACAAACAAACCTGATACAAGCTGAGGGCCAAAAGAGGATATGATTCTGGAGCTACAACGACCACGCAGTTCGATCGGCAAATGGCGGCCGCACATAACGACACAAACGTCAGCAGGGGGTGCTGTTTTGGCGGGCAAACAATACCGACGACGCCGACCGGTTCGTGAATCTTTATGGTGGCACCGTAAAGTGTGGTCTCCTGTGGCAAGAATGTTCGTGCGAATGAAATTCGCGTACGAGTAACCATCATCCTCATCATCGTCGTCATCATCTTCATCATCATCATCACTATCATTATCATCATCATCATCTTCAACTCCCCACCTGAACACCGCCTCCCCACTTGTCAGCATAACCTGCCCACCAGAATAATCTCTCGATCGACTTGTTTACCTCTTTTTCACCCTCTGACCTTGAAACTCCCGTCAAAGTTACTAGAAGGTCAGTAAATTCTTGTGACCTAATTTCAAGATTCTCGGCAAGGTAGTAAAGGATCTGAGCTTTGTTATGACTGGCTCTCCTGCTCCATCTGTTGTTAGGTTCACATTTTTGTTTGCAATACAAAAGCATCTGATTATTAGACAATAGTCATTGAAAGTTATTTGGAATTGTACCAGAATGTCATTCAACATGGAACGGTGCAAATTTTAACGCGAGAACATTAATTATAACTGACACCATTCTTTAAGTAGCGTTTATTCCTCTGCAACTTTTAACAACCAAGTGTCAAACTAATTTTTAAACACTCCTATTAACATTTTATGACATTTATTATAAATACTCTTCTGCGAAACCATATAAAACATTGAATCTAGCAACAATAAACAATTTCGTTGAGCCGGCCCTTGAAATCTACAAATGAGCCGCAGCAGAAACAGCAACGAACCCTGCAAGTGCCTTATGAGCTGCTTCCACTGCATTCCTAACATCTTTCCGGTTGCCTTCTCCCACGTGACCTATGACGTCACTGCCACTGAATGATCTGATTGGTCGACTGTAATTAGAATCCGGTCGATGCTGAGCTCCTCCGTAATACATCTTGTACGTTCTGTCAATCCTGGCGTAAGTACGTGCGCATTTGTAACTACTGATCGGAATGAGAGAGTCGCTAGGTAATAGAGAGTCGAGAGAGGCTAGGTAATAGGTGAAATGATGAACGATGTTACGAACGAACAACAAAATGATGGTGAAGATGAAAATATTAACGGCCACACTAGCAAGATGGCAAACAACAGCAGTGAGCGTGGCAGAGGGTGGATGGGAGAAGATGCCAGTGTGAAGGAAATATTATCAACGGAATAATAACACAATCAGGACGCAATACTGATGGGAAGATGACGACCGCAGCAAGCATGAATCATCGTTTACTTGGGCAATGTGGTGGCCTCCGTATCACCACTGGATGGGTTAGCCACATATGGAATGTCTCCTCCTACGCTGGCACCGAACTTGCTGAGACCATCAACGGTGAGGGTGGTGCATGGTGGAGCCCTGTCCTGCCACTTCATGCGTACGTACTCGAACAAACCCTGGTGTTGTTGTTCAGGTGGCAGTGGTGACTTTGTGATGAGTAGTAGTTATAGTGAGAAAGAATGACGTTTTTATATATGATGACGCTAATGTTAATGACTTGGTTGAAAAGGTGATCTTTCGAAGTTCAATACTAGAGTTTGAGATGAGCGAATTATATAATATAAACAGCCAGTGTAGAAGTACAATTACAGACCTCTTTTCCACCATCCCTTCCATATCCACTCATCTTGTAACCTCCAAATCCAGACGCTGAATCAAAGACATTGTGACAGTTAACCCAGACTGTTCCCGCCCTGATTGCCATGGCAACCTCTAAAGCCACGCCCACTTTTTCCGTCCATACGCTGGCGGCCAGTCCGTACTCGGTATTGTTGGCGATGTTGATGGCTTCAAGGGCGGTTCGGAAGGGCAGAATGACCAGAACTGGACCGAAGATCTGTAACGGGAGTTGTTGGTATGTCGTGTGCTGTAGCCTGCCTAAGCGTGTTATTCATTGTATGTTGTTTTTGTGTTGAGTGGTTGGTTGGCCTGTGAGTTTTGTAATCCGCCATGAACGTCAAACCTCTTGACTGACGACAGCTGACGATGTCTGAACGTTGGTGATGATGGTCGGCGGGTAGTAACATCCAACATCAGGAAGTTTAATGTTGGCTTGGTACACCTGGTTAGGAGGTCACATCATCATCTTATCATCCTTACATTCATCTTCATTGGCTGATACTATTTTGTTACTACAGTTATTTAAAATTTTGAATCAAAATGCAACAACAACTGGAACTACCTGTGCCCCCTCGTCAACTGCCCCCTGTACGAGATCCCTGATTGATTGAAGATGGGCGGGGTCAACAACAGCTGCCATGTCGATACACTTGTCCAAACTGTCCCCCACTCTCAATCTATTCATCCGTTCTTTCAGTCGTTCCACTAATCTGTCACACACTGATTCCTGAACCAGCAAACGAGACCCAGCACAGCACACCTGACGAGATATCAAGTGTGATATGAAAAAATAAAAACAATGACAACAACGATTTAGAAACTTGTTGAATTCTCATCTAACATAATCTAAGTATCAGAATAGGAGCAGCCACAAAAAATCACTGCTGCAATTTCGCTTAGCTACACGATGATTCACAGTTCGCTTAACAAGTACACATCCCATCTTTCTAACATTCCATCACTCTCGCCAGCATCAACGTACCTGTCCTTGATTGAACCAGATTGCATCGACCACACCTTCCACCACACTCTCCAGATCAGCTGATTCGAACACGACCACAGGGGACTTGCCCCCCAACTCCAGAGACAACTTCTTTCCCGATCCTGCCAGGGATCTCCTCAGCACCTGACCAACCTGGGTAGGCATCGGAGTAGTTTTGAAAATTAAACTTAAAAAAATATGCAACCGATGATTAGAAAAGCTTTATGATTAAAACCACTTGCACCCCCATTATTACTACAAAGAACTCTTTTACACTGATGAGAGATAAGAAGCCTGCTAACTTCGGTCGACCCAGTGAATGCCACCTTGTCAACATCTGGATGAACGGCCAAATAATTGCCCATCTGCCCTGATCCAGTTACTACATTGAAAACGCCTGGTGGTAGTCCAGCCTCCGAGCAGATTTCGGCCAACAGGAGAGCAGATAGTCGTGTAAAGGTAGCAGGTTTGAGAACGACGGTGTTGCCCATGGCCAGCGCAGGACAGATCTTCCAGACCATCAACATGAGAGGAAAGTTCCACGGCACGATAGCACCAACAACTCCTGTAATTATAACATTATTCAACGGTTTCTATGTGTTGTATATGCGGTTTGTTATTATGACTGCTAAGCAATGCTTCTCACTGCATTCATTCATCCCAACAAATTATCCAAATAATTCTAACATTCCAAATAGCTTTCATCTTGAACAGCCATGTCAGTTTGTTAAATTTCCTGACAGCAGTGCAAACAATCCTCCACATTCAATAACTATAAATAAATTACTGGTTCAATTGAAATAAACATCAGACACAACAACCACCACAGCATTAGAGACCTCACTACAGCCACCCACCCAAAGATTTCCATTCCCCCATCTCCTTCTCCATCAGACTGGCCCAACCAGCATGGTGGTAGAGGTGTCTGATGACCATATTGACGTCACAGTCACGTGACTCTCTGATTGGTTTGCCATTGTCCATTGATTCGATGACGGCTAGTAGACGGGCGTGCTTCTGCACGTGTCTCGCTATGCTGTGGTGTATTGTTCGTTAAGAAAAGGTTAGAGGTCAAAGGTCAATCACTCTTGTGAACCTGTTTCAGATGTTTCATTCAACGACAGACACACACAACGTATATGAATACCAGAGTGTCGGGGTCAGATAAAAAACTTATACTCCGGGTAAAAGTTTTTGACTCAAACTTCCAACCAACTCCATGTTTCGATTCCCAGAAAAAAATTTTAACTTTTACATCATAACTTCACCTTATTATCTATCACTAGTAAATAGAAAATACTTTAAAAAACACTTGAAATCAGTCAATGTAATTGTTTTTCTTTGTATAATTATTATATTTTTAAGTTTTAATCAATCAATCAACCAATCAAAATAGAAGTTGCTTTATATTTTTAAATTTTAAAACTAACTGAAAAAAATTATGTGATTTTATTGACATTATTTATCATTTATTTTCTGTATTAAAGATAATTACCTATTACCACACACATTTATTCATTAAAAACACCATCTTAAAACAAATTTCTGAGAAAAATAATTTAAAAAAAAATTAATAACATTTTTCGGAGTTGGATGAAAAAATCTGACTTGTAAAAACCAACCACCATATACATTGCATATGATAGCTGCATGTGATTGATGTTTTATGTAATCTTGGTTTGTTAACATTCAATGAGTTATAATGATTGTAGCCATAGTTAATAGTAGTAATTTTGAAAAAAAAATTAGTAGTTTTATTGTAACTCCGACCTATAAATGACCCTTGACCTGTAATGACCAGATGTCTGACTCCATGATTTGTACGCCTGCTTGGCTGCTGCTACTGCCAAGTCAACATCTTCATTTGTGCCCTGAGTTGTGCTTGCTAGGGCTGTATCTATTTGCAGTAGAATAGGGTAAAGGTCAAATGTCTACATTTAAACACTGCAGTATAAGGTGGTTTGGGTGAAATGTCAGCATTAAAATTTGTCAATAGTAAGCAATGGGAACAAATATTTTAAGAAATATTATTAATACTGCCATAGCAAACTAGATTGAATTTGCTTTCATCTATACTACCCTCATTGCCATCACAATAATAATCACCATAATCACCTTAATCTCCATAGTCATTATCTTAATCATAATTTCCATCATCAACCTTATTCCTACCATTTGAAGGATTCCTGGTTTCATAGAACTTCCTGTTCTCCGGATGCACCCATTCGTTGTTGATGAAGTGACCAAACTTCCTATGGTGCTTTTCTAACCACGACTGCCGCCAAATGAAAAATAGAAAATAATAATTAGAAAAATCAGAGTAATTAGATAATTATCTAATACTGGTTATTTACTACACTGACTACTACAGCCAACTTTTCTTATATAAAAACAATGATTTTTTAAGGTTCAAAACCAGTAAACCAAATTAGTAATAATATGTTGTATATATTTTAAAAGTGGACATAAAATGTATTATTTGTATGAGTGAATAAATGAGATAGTATGGTATGAAATATTTAATGGTATGAATGATAATGAAATGACCTTCTTAATGACATGTGGATTGGTGATGCTTCTTCTACTAAAAAAAAGCAATTTTTTGTGTGTCAAAAAAAGTGACATGTCAATGTGAGCACATACTTTGTATGAAATATTTAAAATACAAATTTAACGCTAAATTTGAATTAAATCCGATTAACCTAACTCTAACAAACTCTTCTGATCATGTTCATGTCATGTGCTTATTCATTGAGCTAAGCCTGCTTAAGCTCTAAGGTAATCAAAAACATTTCCAATTATTTATAAAATTATCTTTACAAAAACGTTCTTACTTGCGCCACACTGTCAGATTCGGGAGCTGGCCCGTAACTCAAATTCTCAAAAATGTCTTTAATTTTGTTTCTGCCTTTTGCAGCCGACATCACGAGTCTCGACAATCAACTTCAACCGGTTTGAAATCTGGATCGGAAACATTCACTTTTAAAATTAAGGTAATGTGTTAAAAGTGAAATGTTTTAAAATGTCTAGAGACCATACACGTCTAGAGACGTTGGAGACCCTATGCCAATGACCTTTTTATAGTTATATTATAACATAACATAAGTAAGATTAGTCACGTGACTAATAGACTAAGTCCAAGTAGACTAAGTCTGTGACAGGAGAACTCTTATACTTGAGACGTTTTCCTCTGACGCAATGTTGACCTTATTAACAAAGTCAATAATGCATTTTTAACACAATTTGCCAATTTTTTGCCAGAGCATATACCTTAACTCGTTAAAAAGAGCATATACCTTAACTCGTTAAAAAGAGCATATACCTTAACTCGTTAAAAAGAGCATATACCTTAACTCGTTAAAACTCTATCGCTACTCAATGAAATGAAGAAAAGCCGACATATGCTCTACATTATAGGTAGTAATGTAAAAGAGCATAGCAAATGACAAAGATTATTTAATTCGTAATCATGGATATAATCATGGAAATTATATATATCCATGTTCGTAATGCCAGAAAGCATAATGATTAAAAGATACAACGTGCTGTATTATATGTGTAGAGTTGGAACAATATACAGTCATTTTCAACTTTGAGTTATGGCATGTTCAATGCTCTTTTAATTGTTTATTTTCATGCTCATCTGCCGTTTGTCGACCATAAAACCTTGTCCACTTAACACCAGAAAGCATAATGCCCGTTCACAGTCACCAATAATGGGATAATTCACATTTGTCACTGTTGTAATACATCGAAACACTATGTACTGAAAACTGAAAATTTTAAAATACGGTCTTCCTTGGAACACCAGACTGAAACACAAAGTTGCGTTTGGTGTCTGGTATTTATAAAAAATGTTAAATCGTTCTAAAATAAAAAATAATCTGGTAGCCAGTTTTTTTTGTGGTTGTCATTTACGCATATAAATTATATAGGTAGGCTACATACTACGAATAACAATTTTTAAACATTTGTTCATGTAGACAACAATATCGTCTAAAAAAATTAGTTTTTTCAAGTTTTTTCAAAAGTTGCTAAAACACGCGTGCTTATTAGGAGTTCGGCTATGTACGTAATAACGAAGATATTATTGTTTTCTTTGTGTTTTTCTTTAATTCGACCGTTTTGTTCAATTGACAATAATTAAACTTTCGAGATAAATGCCAAGAAAAACTTTTTATTGCTCCCCTAAGTAAAAAGATTTTTTAAGATTTTATTACGAATGTACCATATTTTATTTTTTATATGTGTGGACTGTTCCTACTAAGCTATGAAAATACATTTAAAAAAGAAGTTATTATATCCGCATGAAATATAACATTGAGTTTATATGCGTGTACATTTTTTAAAACTATTTCATTCCTAATTTCAGAAATTTGACAATTTAAAAGAAGTAGTTAATATATTTGATCAGCAGAGAGCAAAGAAGCAGTAGTTGGGTGACAGCACCAACTCGGAGATGGATGAATGGAGTTCTCATGGACAACTGGTATGAGGACGTTTTTATGGTTAGAGTGACGTTCTTCTTGCATGAATTTTATTAAACTTCTATTTTGCTAATAATCTTTCAATTTGTTTTTGATTAAAAATAACAAATGCTAATTGCAGAGTAGTGCCAGAGTGTTCGATGGCATTTGACCTTATCTGTTTAATTTCAACTCATTTCTCCTTTAAAACCCCTATCAATTATTTTTGTTTTAAAAATCTCAGAAATGCCCTAAACAAGAACCATGTCCCATGGCCGACGAAACCGAATATCGGATCGAATTCGGTCCTTATACCGAAATGCCAACTACATTTGCCAGGCTACGAAACCGATTGAAACAGACCGACAGCAACGCGGAGGTGCTATTCGGACATCACGAGAGGCCATCTGCCAAACACATGATCACTGTTTACGATGAGGTGTGTGGGGTTTTGTTTTAACTTCACAATTTCAATCATTTCAAAATGAAAACACAAAATGAAAACAATACCTGCACGCATACGTCGGTATATTCATTCATGTCATATTTACAGAAGGACATATGCACGCACACACACACACATACATACAAACACAAACCTACGTTAGCATATCAACAGAAGAGCCAGACCATGCAATCAAGAGTTGCCGCCTCTGAGAAAATGGAATCTTTTCAGGAAGACCTGGCAGCCTGAAAGAAACGATTTCCCGTTAACTGGTAAAAAGAAATTATTCATAAATATTATTAATATAATTTTATTAAATACTATTTTTCAAATTCGTCATAAAATTTATTTTTATCCTAATAATAACTTGCAAATGCTCATAAAACGTTAACTAAAATGCTTCCAGGTCATCGTAAAATTTTAATGCTATAGTTTAATTCCTATACTGAAATTCAATTACAGTATTCAATCAAAAATTTCATTCGATAAATAAATATGATAAATAATAAATATACTAATAACAACAAATATAATAAATAATATATATATATGTATAAATAAATATATATATATATATATATATATATATATATTTGGTCTATTACCAACATATATATATGTATAATATATATATATATATATATATATATATATATATATATATAATACTAAAGTTCCAAGGCAATATCCAATCTAAAATTTCATCCAATAAATATAATTATAAAGGAAATCCGACAAACTGGGGCCTGGCCAATTGGAAAGACTCCCAACACTACGCCGGCATCAGGGATTTGCTGGAGGCTTACAAGGGCGTCCAATCAGACTACAACAACTCCTACATCAACCACTTTAAAAAGCAGCAAAATTTGAGAAGAAAGATTCCATGCTATTTGAGCAAAGACTGAGTTTTTCTTTTTTTGTTCTTCTCTTTCTTTTCATTTCTAATTTTTACTTAATGAAGAATGGTATGTTTTTTTTACAATAAATCTATTCCATTTACAAGTAGTGGGTGAATAAGAATTCTAAGTATACGGTGATTCGGTTGCTGGATATGAGATTAATTTATTCGCATTTGTTGACGAGACGAGGCACACTGGTAATATTTTTTCTGATATTTAATATTTCTAATATTTTAGATACAATTTATTCAAACTTTTTTCTGATGCAATAATAATTTTATATCGTTGTCTATCTGCTGCAGGACACCACACACACACACACACACACACACACACACACACACACACACACACACACACACAAACACACAACACCACACAAACATACATACACACTTAATAGCACACTACACTACAACGTATTCGGTATTTTGTGTGTGTTCAACTTCTAAATGCGTCACAATCGTGATGTGTTTGTAAATTTTTTGTCAGAGGTATAAACTTACATACATAGTTGCAATGATTCACAATGATTATTGTAGCGTCGTTCTATTACAACGCTTCAGCGGATCATCTTAACATGGAAACTGCTTATTCGTAGTATCTCCTTAAAAGGTGATCACCTAAAAACTATAGATGATGATTGTATAAACTATGTCTTTTGATTGCAAAAAAAGTTATAAAGGAAAAAAAAATTTTATCCATCTATCTATATTTGAAATATGTCCTTATTTTGTGAAGATGTAAAATATTTTTGAGTTTGCTAAGTGTGAAATATTTTTTTAAATTAAAGAAAAAAGATATATTGCGTTGAACTCCAGAATGCGCGCCATACAGACACGCACACATACACATACAAACACGCACAAGTGGTTATGCGATAATGGTGTATATCAATCTATTTACAATGTTTGAATTAAAAAATTCAAGAACATAACAGGTAGGCTCATAATGCCCTCCAACACACACAAACACACACACACACAGACATCCACTCACTCACACACAGAGACAGACAGAGGGAGAGAGAGAAAGAAAATCTATATATCTATATTCACGGGAGTTTCTCAATAAATCGCAATTATAATAAACGTAGCAGTGTCGAAATAAATAAATTTCTTCCTTTTTTGTTCTTAGTTGACATGAGTATACTACCGCGAAATAACCATTTGTACTCGGGCGTAATTTGCAGGTATTAAGTTTGGAAGTTTTAAAATTTTCAGTAAAGTTGAGCAAAGAGGTCAGCGTCACCAACAAAGACAACAATATAATAATAATAATAGTAGTAGTGTAGTAAAAACAATAATAATAATAGTAGTAATAATATTAATAATAATAAAATAACTAAAGCAATAATTGATTATGCGCCTTAATGACTGAAACAGCTGATGCCACTTATTGTCTGTCTGTAGGTAGGAGATGAGCGTGATTGTGCATTTGTATGTCTGTGTCTTCGTGTTGTATGTGTGTGTATGTGTTTGTGTATATATTTTTTTTTGCATGTACGTGTGTGGTGTGGTGTGTGTGTGTGTGTGTGTGTGTGTGTGTGTGTGTGTGTGTGTGTGTGTGTGTGTATTATGAATGACCCAGGTAAATTAATATGCGTTAAATTTTCAACTATAGATTTTTTAAAAACGGATATTATGTTCATCAATTTGTTTACGTGCCTGCATCTTCATCTTCATCTACGGTTTTTCAGTCGTAGGTACGTAGAGTAATCTGGTATAAAAACTAATTTATGTAATTATTGGTATGAAAATATATGTAATGTATATGTGTCTAATACATATGAATTATATATATATATATATATATATATATATAATACTGTAAGTGTTTATGTATGCATTTATATTAATGCGTTACATATTAATGTATGTATGCATTTGCATATTAATGACTTTATGAATATATATATATATATATATATATATATATATATATGTATTTATGTATGTATAAATGTATGTATGTATTAATGCATGTATTGATGTTATAATGTATGCAAGTGCTTATTGAATATGCATATGTATTCATATAAGTATACGTGTGCGTATTTGTATGTGTATTTGTATGTGTATGTATGTGTTTGTATGTATATGTGTGTACGTAGAAGTTGTTATTCATTCATTTATTGTGCGCTCTACTTTTTGAAAGATCCAACCAGCCAACTCATTTTAATTATTTATTTTTCTCCGCTACTCTACTCTACCATTGTGTTGTTGGTGAGCCTCTCTAGGAATTGCCTTTTCTGACATAAAAAAACATCATTTTGAGTTGATAATAAATAAATAAAATAATATAATTTTCGTCATTCGTTCGTTGATAAATTTCTTTTTTAATTTTATTGCGAATTTTAAAAAATTTCTCGAATAAATTAAATACAAAAGTTATTTTGAAAGTGAAGTTAGTTGTTAGTGACGACTAAGTAAGAAGGACAAACAAAATGGCTGGTAGTTCAGCTTCTTCTAGTGCTGTCAGGTTTCTACAGTTGGAACTGAAAAAAATTCACAGCGAGCCCGTTGAAGGTTTCCGCGTTTTCCTGCCTGATGATTCCAACATTTTCGTCTGGGATGTCGCCATATTTGGACCCCCTGACACGCTCTATCAGGGTGGATATTTCAAGGTAAATTTTATTAAAGTTAAATTTAAATTATCAATTTGAATTTGTGGCTATTTTTTCAATAATTTACAGTTTACACCATATTTAATTTTTTAAAATCATTGCTTAAGTCGATTAAAAGGTAAGACAAAGTAAGTAAGAAAGACCTTTTCTTCACCATCCAAGGTACTGGCCTGACCTTATCTCTACTTGTCTGAAATCAGCAAACTTTCGTTTGACAAAGGTTTCCTCACCTTAACCTGGCCATAAGCCAACTCATAATTATTAATAAATATCATAATAAACTTAAAATTATTTATTATTTCATAACAAATTTAATTTACTATACTTTTTATTTTTCTAAATAATTTGAAACTGAATGCTTGCTAACGAATGTTTGCTAGCCTTTTCCAAGTTTATTTCAGGGTTTTTTTAAATTTTTATTGTTTAAGTGATGAATTATTTTTGAGCTTGTTTTGGCGTCATATAAATTACATTTATTAATGTTTGAATTATATAACATAACTTGAGAAACTGAGAAAAAAAAGTAAGATAGAATAATTTATTTATACATAGACATTATTTTTTTCTAACAATTTGATTTAGTTTGGTTGATAGATGTGAAATTCATTTGATGCCAGTTATATTTAATTTAAATGTAAGTAACTAAGACAGGTGTGATGTTTTATTATAATTTTGTAATTTTATTTTTTTACCATCCCTGAATATATATATAGGTCATATATGAATTTGAAGGTCACAATCTTGAGGAGTTAGAACTACTTGTTCATTGTTTGCTCTTTAAATGGATATTCAACATCATCTTCATCATCAAATTGTCAAATTTTTAGTTGATCATTTAAATAGCTAAAAATATTTTTTGAATAACCAAAATAATATGCCATAGTAGACTTGAGCAAAAAAAATTACAAGAGTGTACTGTTCTTTAGTTCTCAAAAGCATAAGTAATATTTTGTCTTTGAAAATATACAATGTTTATTTAGAGCTTAACTAATTTTTGATTTCAATAACTTCTTTCTTTTAACTTTATGTTGATAATTGAGTTTGATTTTCCAAGTTTTATACTGATTAATTAATGATGGTTATCATAAATTGAATTTTGAACATCACTTTTTGTTGGCAGGCTCAAATGAAGTTTCCTCAGGACTACCCATACTCACCTCCAAAGTTCAACTTCCTCACAAGAATGTGGCATCCAAACATTTATGAAGTTTGTTGTTATCCATTCCTCTATTTTTAATCCTATATCTAGTTTCTCACTTTCTCTCTCTCTTTTTTCTCTCTTTTTTTCTCTCTCTCTCTCTCTCTCTCTTTCTCTCATTCCTCTGCTTCCACCTCAAAGCTTCATTTTTTTTGTTTATTTAATTCAATCCAATTTATGTGGATGGCTATAAGGATGTAAGTTACTATAAATAATGATGATGATGATTAATGATGATGAATAGTGAAAATGATTAATGGTGATGACTAATGATGATGATGATAATAAGGAGAGTGATTTTTTTTACCTGCCTAATCAGCATTGCATCATCTCACTTCTAATGAATAATTGCGATATTGTTAGCACTTAATGATTAATTGGGATTCTGGTCACTACTTTAATTTCGATTGAATTTAAATTGTATTGAAAAGATTACAAAATCAGCGTGATAAGAATATATATCAAACAAATCAGGCATTGAAACAATTGTATATATACAAGTAAGCAAACAATACAATGCTATCACTGCTGATTTAAAACCATACGATCACCAACGATTTAAAATCATGCAGTCACCAACGATTCAAAATCATACATTCACCAACAATTCAAAATCATGCATTCAATTTATACAATCACCAAAAAACACCACACAGAATGGTGAGGTGTGCATAAGCATTCTCCACCCCCCAACGGACGACCCGCTCAGCGGGGAGTTGCCATCAGAAAGGTGGAATCCCACTCAAAATGTCAGGTACTAATATGTGTATATATGAGTATATTTTTCATACACATTGACACAAGATGAAAAAGAGTTTATTTGTGTGCATATCTGTTTGTGTGTGTGTGTGTGTGTGTGTGTGTGTGTGTGTGTGTGTGTGTGTGTGTGTATGTATGAGTGTGTATCTAAAGTTGTTATGCGTGTCTAAATATTTGTATTCACTGATCCATTTTTTCAATAGTAGTTGTCTTTAAAGCTAAACAATTTTAGGTGTGGTAATATTTAAAAATAGCAATAACAACAGAGGATTAATTATTATCAAAATAATAATAATAATAATAATTTATATAATATACTATAATTAAATTATCAATATAATAATAATAATAATAATAATAATTTATATAATATACTATAATTAAATTATCAATATAATAATAATAATAATAATTTATATAATATACTATAATTACTTTCATATATATAAAAGCTTTCATAATTTTCATAAATATTGTTAGTCTTTTTTTAAGACTGTTGTCAACCTGTATTTTTTTTTAATTCAGTCACTATAGATCATGTAAACTTTAGATCATGTGATAGACATTTTAGCTATGGTGACTTGCAAACTTACATGCATATATACATACATACATACATACATACATACATACATACATACATACATACATACATACATTCGTTTTACGTATACTTGCTTCTTGGTTATTTTAGGTGATTCAACTTGCCTAAGTTATAATGATATGTTATGCTACGTTATGTTATATTCTATAAATAATATGTTAAAATGTTTGTTTAGATGAATTTTATGGCAAATGATCTCTTCACACACACACAAACGAATACACTCACAAACAAACACACACTAACACACACAAACAAACATACACACTACGATAGAACTATTCTACTGAGTATCATATCCCTCTTGAACGAGCCAAACACCTCGTCGCCTGCCAACGTCGACGCCTCAGTCTCATTCAGGAAGTGGAAGGAGGGAAAGAGTAAGGATTACGAGCTCAAAGTCAGGTTAGAGGTCATCAGGAGGTCATTAGGGGTTACCATGGGTCATCAGGGGTTACCGGAGGTCAGCACGCGTCACCATCATCATCAAATTCTTAATCATCTTATTACCATCATAGTCACTATCAGTGATAATTATAATCCTATAAATGGTTATGATGTTGACAATATTAGGCAATTGATTCATATTTTAAGTAGATAAAATATGCGTTGAAATGATGGTGATGATGACGGTGATGCGTGAGATGGTGATTGGTGATACTGAGAATGTGAAGACATCTTGATTGGATGAATGTTGATGGTGATAATAATGATGATGATTGTAAAGATAATTATGGGTAGTTTATTACAGATTAAGTCACACAGTCACACACACAAATGCACACACACAATATGTCTTTGATGTGTTTTTCTCAGTTGTGTTGAGTGGAAAATTAGGAATGAATGAATCAACAACACTCATCATCTCACACGAACCATATTTCCCATTTTTATTCAGTTTATTTTCATTTTCCTCTTAATCATCATTCCATTTTTATCATTATTCTCTTCAGTATCATCATCTTCTTCATCATTTTTATCTTCGTCATCTTTGTAACCATCACGTCATCATCACAGTAACATAATATAGTTTTATAGTTATATTTATTATTATAATAATTATTATCTCGACATAAGATGAGAACATGCATACATATGTACGCGCATACACAAACGAACACACACAAACACACACACAAACAAACACACACACAGGAAACAAGTATTACAAACAAAGTTGGATGCAGAAAAGGACGGAGTGGAGGTGCCAGTGACGGTTTCTGAGTACTGCATCTCGTCCGGACCGTCCAACAGTACCGCACACGACTGCCTCTCAGAAATGGACTTCTACGACGAAGATTGCGTCGAGGATTACGATGACGACGACGACGACGATGAAGAAGACGATGAAAATGATGGTTGCGACGGTGCGAATAACGACGACGGCGGTAGTCGTCGTCTCGGTAGTAGTGGTAGTTGCATTCAACGCGATCCAAATGGTGGCGAAGATTCTGGAAATAATAGTGATTCGTGATTGTGATGGTCATGGTGATGAGAATGATGATGACGACGATATCGTGTGATGGTAATGATGAGTATGGTAACATAGTGACTGCTGTGTTTGGCGTCTGGTTAGATGACTATGATGACGATATGGTGATATGATGATGAAAGTTTCATGATGTATATATACATATATACAATACATTCATCATACTGACAATATGTATACAACAATTTTTCGTACACCATTTTAAACTTTACACAATTCTTAGGATATTTTCACTTTTGAAACGGCAACCACAACAACCACCATGCATTGATATATATATATATATATATATATATATATATATATATATATATATATATTAATTGATATAAATGGTATTTTGTTTTTAATATCTTGAGATCATAGTTGCTGTTTCAAGATGGTGACGGTGTTTGTTTGTTTGTTTGTATGTATGTCTATTTATGTTTATACGTGTGTGTGTGTTCGTGCGTGCGTGTAATACATATGGTGTAAATATTATAAACCCTATGTTATTTGTTTATAAAAGGAATTGGACATAAGTGTGTTTGTATATATTTGGATATATGTGCGTATGGTGGTGTTGATGATAGTTAGAGTAATAATAATAATAACAATGATGATTATGATGATGATGCTGATGGTGGTGGTAATGATAACGATAGTAGAGTTTGATGGCGATGGTATTGTTGGTGTACATTTTTTACTCATAATTTTCACTTTGTCATTTCTTTTTATATTTAGTTTTCTTTGGTTCTCTATCGTCTAGACATTTTGTTTTATTTTATGTCTTTGAATATGAATAATTATTTTCATTGGCTATTTTATCTTACTCTTCATGATAATTGATGAAATGTTAATTAATTTTCAATTAAACAATTTATGAATGAATGAGTGAGTGAATGAATGGATGAATTAATGAATGAGTAAATGGATGAATGAATTTAATAAACGAAAAGACGAATAATATAATTGCTGATTGAACAAATGACTGTTGTATTTATTGCTTAAATTATCTGGTTGCTAATTAATTATTTAATTAACGAGTGAATTAATCATACAATATTTAATTGATAGACGTCCAAATGTAGTTTTCTTTATTATTATTATTATTATTATGTTTCTTATTATTATTTTTATCATTATCCTAAACCTGTATATAAAGTTTGTTTATCTACACTCTCTTATCTCACTGCTTAATATTAACATCAATCCTACCAAACAACCAGTGAAGGCCGAATTCTCTCCTCAGTATATGCAAACATATGCGGACAAAAACATACAAACACTTGTACATACAGACAGACACACACATACACACACATACATACATACATACCAAATTCATATTTTCTCTCTTTCTCTTCTCTCTCTCTCTCTCTCTCTCTCTTTCTTTCTCTCTCTCTCTTTCTCTCTCTTTCTCTCTCTTTCTCTCTCTTTCTCTCATTTTCTCACACACACACACACACATAAACATACAAACCTTTGCAAAAACTCAGATACATACATACCAAGTTCATATTCTCTCTCTTTCTCTTCTCTTTCTCTTCTCTCTCTCTCTCTCTCTCTCTCTCTCTCTCTCTCTCTCTCTCTTTCTCTCATTCTCACACACACACATAAACATACAAACCTTTGCAAAAACTCACACGTGGGTGAAAACATACACTAACAAACACACACTCACAGGTAGATAGACAAACTGTCAAGTACAACCAAACATACTAGACAGATACGGACATACCCAGAAAAACATAGGCATACCTACTATGATACAGAATGTATCATAGTGATAAGTAATTTTTTTTCAACGTCATATTATCATATTTCTGGCCACTTGTATACAATTAATTCCTTTTCTTTTTTTCTTCTTATCTTTTCCTCCCTCCCTTTCTCTTTCTCTCTCTCTCTCTCTCTCTCTCTCTCTCTCTCTCTCTCTCTTTCTCTCCTCTGTATCTATCCCAGGGTTCTGTTAAAATATGCGTTGTTCATCCAATTGTATATGGACGACGAAGAATCTAATAAATATTGTTTCATAATAAAAACAACAGCAACAATAATGATAATAATAAGGATGATTATGTAGGTACTGGTATGTAAACTTTTTATGATGAATGACACGATACTTCTTTAACAGTTAATAATAATAATAATAATAATAATTATTATTATTATTATTATTACTGCTTCTACTAGTTGAGTAGTTTGTAACAAGCGCTTCCATTACGATGTTCATTCATCCATTAGTTCGTTCGTTCTTTCGTTCTTTTTTCAATCTTTCGTTCTTTCATTCCTCTACTCGTTCGTTCGTTTGTTTATTCAATTCAATTGATTATTATTTAATGTTCAATAAATTGTAAATTTAACACAACACTGATTATGACTCTCTGTTGACCATTATTATTACTTATAATTTATTATTCTGATTTTTACAAATATTTCATTTGTTCATTCGTTCATTTGTTCATTCATTTGTTCCATGCATTTGTTCAATCATTCATTTGGCCATTAATTTGTTCAATCATTCATTTGATCATTCATTCGTTCGTTAGCTCTGTAAATATTTCAAACAACAGACTATATCAAGGATACATTTGGTATCTCTTATCATCTTATAAACATAATTACACACATGTATGTGTTTTTATTATATATATATGTACGTGTCTGTGTAACTTGTAACTAATATATATATATATATATATATATATATATATATATATATATATATATATATATATAGGATTCAGACTATCTATATATATATATATATATGTGTGTGTGTGTGTGTGTGTGTGTGTATTGTACTTATTATATTGGCGATGTTCCTTCCTATGCGATCATCATAAATGCGTGCGTGTGTCTGTGTTTATGTGTGTGGTTTTTATGAAATTTTTCTTTTTCGTTGCGATGTTTTTTTTTTGGTATTTTAAATAGAATTAACTGGATTATATGCGTGTTAAGCTGTTGAGTGTACACGTATAATATGCGTTACATTTATACGACTATCTGATAATTAAAAATTTATCATCAGGAAAATTTTCATGAGAGTTCTTTGGTATTGGTCATATTATGTAGCAAGGACATTTAACCTTTTAGGCAGATGTTGGCACGAAATTAGAGATAACAGATGTGATATTTTTAAAAACTGAGAAATCTTATGAGGGCATCTGTTGTTGTGCTGCGCTGAATAAATGTTGGTTAGACCTTGTTAGACGTAATTAAGTATTTACGAAACAATCTTGCTGTAGGGATGGTAATGTTGAGATTGGTGATTTATTACTATTTATTTGTTTTGAAAATCCAACTTTTACCAGACGCATATATCAGCTGATCATAACACCGTATCCGTTTTTCTCATTTGTGTTACTCAACCAACTGGATCGCAAAATCGTTACGAGTTTTATTTATATTTGCAATTTAACTAATGTAGGTCGTGGTTGGTTGGCTGGTTAAGTTCGATTAATCCATTTTAAGGAAAAGATAAGTTAAAAAGAATCGCAAATAAAATGGTTTAAAATAAGTTGTTTTTTTACTATGCTGACGTAAATCGGTTTTCAGTTGAAATTGTAATTGTAAATAATTATATTTTTGTTTAAGAATGTTGAGATTAGTCAGTAAAAACGACAGCAGATAGCATGAAAGGTGAGTGCGAAAATAACGAAATGATTGAAGATTGCTTTTATTAAACTCAGCTTGCAAAACTATCATAGATGAAGTAAACTTGTTGTTTTCGGCCATCAACAGCAGCATTTTAAAGTTTCAAAAACTATGGTCGCCTTTAAATTATTGCTGATTCTTATTTACGCATCAAGGACCAGGTATAAGAAATGGAGGAAATATTAGTCCAAAATCAGTTATGCATGAAATGGAATTCAGTCAAACTGAAAAAAATCAGAAAAATGGCAAACCTTTGAAAACTGAAAAAGCGGAGGCGAAACGGCCACTAAAACAAAAGTCGCCGAAAAATAGGAAGCTTGTTAAGAGGGCGACGGCGAAAGAGATGCCGATGTTTATTTTCACAAGCGAAGACCCAAAGTCGATGACGACTATACGAAGCTGGTACTGTACTCTACTGCGAAAAAGTAGCAATCAGAACAACATGATGGAAAGATTTCAAGAGGAGGCCTGCAACACTACCATGCAATCCCTACCGAACATGTCCCCGGTACACATTTTTTATAAGTACCTTTTCACGTTTCACGAAATATTTGTTGAAAATGTAAACTTTCAATGCTGACGTTATCATGAATCTGTAAGTTATCATTTAATTATGATGAAAATCCTATTTATTTTAAAATTAGAAAAAATTTCTAACAATACATCATTTAATTTTTATTTAATTTAATTTTTGCAGCCCTGTGAAATTGATACATGCATGTACTTCAATAAGACCAGAGATTTATTCACCAAAAAACCTAGTACCATAGTACTGTATTTGATTTTTTTTACATTCAATTTACATTATTTAGTCTTTAAAACAATTGAATTATATGGAGCGTACGATCCTCAAGCATCTCAAACAATCACACACACGCGCACACCACACACACGCACGCACACAACCACAACTACACAAACTACCGCCAACAGAAATACCCAGCTCCACTAACAAGTGAAGAATGCGTGGCTGTACATATCTACACATCAAGCTTTGCTTTTAAATACAACTGCAACACCAGGAAAGGTTTCGTTATTAGTAAATAAGTTCAGACAGACAAAATGAATGATATAACTACAACTAAACTTTTATAAAAACGCGTTTGGAGAATAATTTTTTTAAATATTTGAAATTGGTAAAAGTTTGAGCAGAATAAAATTTTAGTTTTAAAAATATTTTCTACAGGTTTTTACGAATCATACAAAGTTTACACATCTCTCTTGCTCAGTGCTGGTAGAAAGATTAACGCCATGCCTCAGTACAAGTCCAAGCATTCGCCGAAGATACAACTCTATAGGGGTAGGATTCTATTTGCTAGATGAATAAAAAATGAATAATATTTACTTATTAAAATTATCTCTTCAGTATTTTTTAGAGGCACCAGCAACAACAAACACACAGTGCATGTATGCACGCGAAACAACGCATCGCACACATTACATGTGATAGCCGGAATCTCTTTCTAATTGAACCCGGTTACTTCAATAGCAGTGTTAAACACTTTACTGTTACACCACCTGGCCGCTACCCTTGTTATAATAACTTTTTAACAGCTGTTTATTATACTATGAAATGAATATTAAATTAAACAATTTAACTGTTTATGCTAGACGGGTTGAAAAAAAATAGAACAATGACAGGAGGCAACGAGGAAGTGTACTCAGGCACGGAAAAGAACGAATCAGCGGCTACAGAATCGGACGCAGATCAAAACCAAAAATCACCATCGCAAGCCTCAAAGATGGCATCGCCTGCCATTTTTATTATCTTTGAACAATTACTCATTCGCTTCGTTGGGATCAAGTAAAAATATTATTACAACTTCAGAGAGGGTATTCATGTGATTTGCTATCAGATAAGATGGTTTACAGATGTTTCAACATACCAGCCAGCTTACGCATAAAGATTAAAAAGAAAGAAAAATCATCAACTCTTTGTCTTTGTACTATCAATTAGAAATTATTTTAGTTTTAAGTTTTGCTACTCAGTTCAATAACAGGGAAAAAAATCACGGTCTCATTACAAAAGCGACAATCGATGGCCACAAAACGTCAAAAGGCCACAAAATTTATTTCTATAAACAATTACATTCAATATAAAATATTTTAAATCATAAAAATAGGAAAACGCAACGAGATCTTCACTAATTATTTTCTCGTATTGTTACAAGACAACTTCACAAAAACCTTACCACATCATAAATACGTTCTAACAATAATGATGGCGATGACGTCAGAATGAATGAATGAGTGAATAGATAAACGAATGAATGAATGAATAAATGAAAGAATGAAACGGCACGACAATAATCAGTCAATCTTTACGTCATTCGTTCTCTTCCGTAATTTTCTGCAATCAACTGCTCTATCTATATTCTGTAGGATTTGTAACGTTAATTTTAAGAATCGTTACCGATCATTACCATTATTACTAATCATCATCATCATTAATTATTATTATTATTATTATTATTATTATTATTACTACTACTACTACTCCTAATCACTATCATTCTTATCATTGTAGTTCCACTACCCCTTCATCGTTGTCTCTATCATACCAATTAGGCGATCGTCGTCATCGCTATCGTCGTAATCACAATTACCTGATGATGACATCATCACAAACATCGTCGTCGTCATCGTCACTAACGCATCTCGGAAACATCCAATCGAGGAGGATGAATAGTAGGCAAGATGTCAGGTAGACCATCATCTGCAACTTGCCGCACAACAATCCGCATTTGTTGTAGCTGTTGTTGAATGTGTTGCTCTGTTATTGCTTGTGTAGTTGCTGGGTTGTTGTTTGTGTAGTTGCTTGGGTTGTTGTTTGTGTAGTTGCTTGGGTAGTTGTTTGTGTAGTTGTTTGTGTAGTTGGTCGTTTTGTTGTTAATTTAAGTTTTCAATACTTTCTTGAATATAATCAACTCACTTATGTCCTGTTCTAATAATAATACACGTGCAACAACTTACATGCATTCAAAACAATGAATAAGGACACAAACAACGTAATTCCACCTTTTCAACTTGTCAATCAACTTCTTAGGCTCCTCCCCACTGATGACGTCATAAACTGCTTGGGTTCTTTTGGCAACATTCTGCCAAGTGTACAAAGATGCTACCTCTTTGTGAATCGTCATCATCTCTTTCATCTCTTCGTCTTCATCATCATCTCGCTCACCGGCATCATCATCTGTTACGGTATCAGCACCGTCATCGTCATCATCATCTCATCGTTATCAACATCACCATCGTCACCATCATCACAATTTTCGTTAAAACTAAATATAAATTATATTATTACCATCACAGCAAAGGACATTGTCACCATCACCAAAACTCATCTTCTTCGTATGCAGTCCCGCTGATGATGATGTTGGTGGTGATGGTGATGGTGATGTTGATGATGGTGATGATGTTGTTTGTTTCGCTGCAGTCTGCAGTTGCTTCCTCTTCATCCTGTCACTTTTCACCATCCTTCGTTCAGCGATCGCTTCATTCAGCTGTTCAGCCAGACCTAATAGCAGCGAATGAACGAAGGAACTAATGAATGAATGAAGGAATTAATTTGATAAACAAATGGAAGACAGAACAAACGAACGAATGAAGAAAGAA